AGTAGAATTATCTGGAAAACACTTTAAACAGATGCTCGGGGCCCAACTCCAGATGCCTCAAGTGAAGCTGTGGAGGTCGGGGCCTGGGTGCTGGTGTTTTTTAAGGGTTCCCTAGTGAGTCAAATACGCCGGGGTTGACGTATTTGACTGGGTCAGGTATTTGACTAGTGGCCTTGTTCCAAAGGGCTCCAACTTGCCAGTTGCCAGTTATATTGTTTGCGTTATAATTTCTTATTGTTCGATGACTTAGAAATGGACATTTTTGGATAAAAGCTAAAGAAATGAGAATAAAATAGAAAGCAGACGCTCAAGTGGACAGAAACCACTTGGAAGACACCACTTGGAAGATGTCCGGGCTGGAGCCCCCCGTGTGCCTGAGGCCATCAGAGGAGCAGGTTCGCCCGAGGGGCTTGTTTAACGAAAGGGTTATTGACACAAGCCGCGTGGGACAGGGACCTCGAGGTGGCTGTTGCCTCTGCTGCCTTCTCGGCCCCTCCTCCACGTCTTCTTCCAAAACCGTCCTGAGAGCAGCGGCGATGAAGGCTTTGAGCTGGCGGACAGTCCGGCCGCACAGAATGAATCCCCTGTTCTGAGCAGTAGAGCGTGCCTCAGTTTATCTTTCAACAGGGCCGAGCGGGGTGGGCTGGGTGCCAGGCAGTGCTCAGGGCCGTGCCTGCACTTGAACTCGTGGAGCCAGGGTCTGTCCACCCAGTGAGCGGTGCAGACCCTCCCAGGTCGGGGTCCACTAACTCGACTGATGTGGCCCAGCTGGTGGCGGGTGCGAGAAAGCGCCCGGGGACTCTCAGAGCTGCCGCTGTCTGAGCTCCACCCCAGGGAGCCTGATGGAATTGGCACGTGGTGTTCGAAAGCCCCCGGCCGATTCTCCCCTGCAGCCAAGGTTGAGGGGGGACCACTGCCCCTGGTGCCCGGCCGGCCGTAGACTGCGCGGGGCCAGGCGCGGCTTTGCGGCTGGGTGAGTTCCGGCCAGCAGTGGCTGTGAGTCGGGGTGAGCTTGGCTCTCATTGCACACATGGCCTTAGGACGCAGGCAGGAGCCCCGGGGGGACGTGAACGCACCGTGCCAGGTCACTAGCGGCTCTTAGAGCATTAAACAAGACCAGGGGGAGGTCGCAGGAGTCTGTGTCCTCCCAGCACAGGGCCTAAGTGCCTGGCGCTGGGGTGTCTATCTGGCGGCCAAGTGGAGGGACTGTGTTGGGATAAAATCACTCGTCCGGTGGAAGTCATTTGGGAAGAACTGAACCCCATCTGTGGCCCGGTTCTGCAGGTGGTCACGTGACGGCGACTTGATTTGTTGACTGCCTTTGTCCATAAATTACCAGTAAAGGCTTCCAGGTTGTGAGGTGCTTAGAACCTGTGGGGAAACCTGGCTCAGAACCCGCTTTTCTGCAGGCTCTGGGTGTCGGCCACACTGCCTCTGTCCCCTGTGTAAACAAACCCTGGCCTGGTGCACACAGGCAGGACCCAGGCAGCTCTTCCCTGTGACCTGCTGCCCAGGGCCACTGAGGCCCCTCCACATTGGGACCCGGGCAGCTGGGAGTCGGTTTCCCAAGCATCCCTCCGATGCTCGTGTAGCATACTTTAAACTTTTTTTTTTTCCCCCAAAACAAAGGGAAAACAATCTCTCTTTTGGAAGAGATTTCTAAATGCCTTTGCACATGCAAGTATATTTCGAAGTCGAAGTTGCTGTCACGTTTAGACACGGTGTGCGGGGCGGCTGGGCAGCTCGGGGGCCTTCCTCGTCCCCTTCCTCGCGTGCCTTTGCGCCCTGCCGTGTCCCACACGCACCAGGAAACGTGAGACGCTGGCGAGCAGCCGGATGGGCTGTGGAGTCTTTATCTGAGCCATCAGCAGAGCTGCGTTTAGTCACGTGGGTTTGCTGTAGCTCCATTGCTTCCTTGCCAAATCCTTTCTTAAACTGTGTCGAGAACCATCATAACGTACTGTGCTTAAGTGGGAACCAAAGGCCTATTTATGCGACACTCCCTGTGGCTTCTGGTTCCGTGGTTTTGTGAGCTCCCTTTGTCGCCTGCCACCCTACCGACTAATAACGTGGGCCCTACGACCAGGCTTCTTGGGTTCCAATCCAAGTTCCCCTAATTCTTAGCTATGTGATGTGTGACAGGTGGCTTAACCTCTGGGAACCTTGGTCTTCTCATCTGTAATGTGGGAGGTGATAACGGTTGTACGTCACCCACTTATTGTGAAGATTAAATGTGTTTTGAATTTAGTGCCAAGGGGCTGGGTCCTTGGTTAGGGGCTTGGTAAAGCCTTTTTCTTACCTTTTCATTTCTAGCACCTAGTACAGAGCCTTGGTACTCCTAAGTGGTGGCAGAAAGGCGAGGAACTATATGCGACTCTTTTCTCGATATGAGAATAATTATACATTGTTCCTCTTTTTGTCTTTAAACGCTGTTGTGGATAGGGCTGTGCCTATCGACCCCTAGGACCTAGATTTGAGGCCTACTTTTTTCAAGTACGAGCCGAGTGAATTGGTAGATGACTTAATTTTTCTGAGATTGTTTCCTCATCCGTAAAAGCGGGGAAAATAATTCCTTCCCTATAAAGGCCCTAGGATGGAAGATCCCGTGGGTAAAGAGCCAGACGGAGTACTCGGTACCCGAGCCTTGCTCAGTGACGGGTAGCATTATTTTTCACAGCAGATGCAGAAACCGTTGGATGCACTTCTTTCTGATGGATAAAATTACATTTCCAAGTGAACTGCTTTCCTTGTCATTCCATTGACTGTGTCCCCTGCCCCTAACTTCATCTGTAGGAACAAAAGACCGGCTGCACATCTGTTCCACGCCAGCCAAGTCCTTTTCATTATCCGAATGGACTTTGCCCGGCGTCCTCTCGGTGACGGGGAGAGCCGGGATGCACAATCATTCAGTGGCCTCCGTCCTTTTTGAATGTGGTGCCATTCGAAGCACCGGTGTCCATGGCAGGTGAGGCAGGACCTCCTTTCTCCCTGATTTGCATCGGCTCTGCCCCAATCTTGCAAGAACAGGGAAGGCAAACGTGCGACTGAAACCGGGACTAGAAACTTTGCAGGTCGTGAATTCCTTTCTCTACGTGATCTTTTCCTCTTCACCCTCCATCCCCACTTCCCCCTACTCGATACTGCGGCGTCTTCCAAAAGAAAAGTGGAAACCGACAGCCAGGCTCCGTTCCGACCCCAGGATCTCTGCTGTTCTCAGTGCCACCTCCAGGGTGTCAGAGCAGAAACAGGATGTGGGGCTTTGGGGGGATACGGTAGGCTTCAGCATCGCCCGTGCCACATATTGTGCGAACCCCTTTTCTGGACCGGGGCAGCAGTCAAGTTCTCGCCCCCAAAACCTGATCTTCTCTGTTCTTCTCGGCCCCAGAGTCTTGATCTCGGATGGGCGCTACCATATTGGGGCCACCAAAGTCTGAGAGGTTTTTAACCTTGTTCAAGCTCCTTAATTTCAGATAAAAGCTGTTTGAAGGGAAACTCACAGTTTAAGGTGTGTGTGGGGGGGCGGGGGCGGAGTTTGGGCCGGAAGGGGAGGAGAAAGGAAGCACTGTGACCTCATCCAGGTGAGCTGGGGCGGAGGCCAGAGATGGGGCTGAGTGTGGATGCTCCAGGTAAGTGTCTTTCTTGTCCTGTGTTTCCTCTTTCTCCCCCATTCAAGCTGGTTTCAAGCACAACAGTCCACTATCGCTCGTGTTTTGTGAAAATGAGTATTCAGCCCAAGAAGCGTTAAGGCCCTACCCAGTACCAGCTGCTGGCCCGCTGATGGGGCGGAGGAGGCAAGGTGCATTAAACACAGCCCTCTTTGCTCTCAGGAGTCTTAGGGTTTCACGGAAAAAGAGACCCACATTGTAGGTAAAGTAGCCAACGTGAATCGAGCATTTACTTTGTGCAAAGCGCTTCCCACGGGTTATCTCGATCCATGTCCCCCGCCGTGGGGTGTAGGCACCGATGTCTCCATCTTGCAGCTAAGGAAACGGAGGCCCTAGAAATCGAGTAACTTGCCCGTCATCCATTAAGGGTCACTTCTTGGAACGATTATCATTCATTCCACAAACATTTACCGGACACCTCCTATTCACCAGCCATTCATACTCCGGGGAGGACAGATACAGACGTTCTCGAGGAAGTCAGTACCTATGCACAGTGAAGGTCCCTAAGGAACTAGTTTAGAGCACTCTGTTGCCCACACAGCAGCTGTTTATATGCAGGTAGGAGTGAAGCAGGTGAAATGTCCTCCCATAAAGTGCGAAAGTTGCTCCTGCAATCAGTGGTTTGCTGGGCAAAGTAGATGAGGACGCTTTTCATGGGCCTTCACTGCGTGAGCTTTGAAACGCCTCCTCAGCCCAGGGAGCA